TGCCTGCCCACCTGCAGTGCGAAAGCCCCGGGCCAGAAGGCGCCCAGCAGTCCCGAAGAGCAGCCGGAGCCCCCCGCCTTGGCTCACGCTCGCGCCGCCCCTCGCAGCCGTGGAGGCCGCCATGACACGCTCCACGTGACTGCTGGGCGGGATGAAAGGGGAGCAGCCGTTTCCAAGGCGACAAGAACTGTAGGACAGGGCGGGGAAGGAAGGGGAGTGAAGGTGTGCTGGGCGTCTACCCACTGACTCATGCATAAAGTTATTTTTTCTTGCCTTTTAAAATACGCATGAATTTGCCTTGATGATCTCCAGTTGTTCTGGGTTACAATTCTCATAATCCCAGATTTAGTATGGTCAACGAGTGATAGGCTTTGTAGCTCTCGCATAAGAGCACAAAAGAAGGTTTGGGGGTAAAAAGAAAAATAATTTAAACTAGTGTTTTGAGGTCTGCTTTGCAGCCCTCTTCTGAATGGGCAATGTTGGGAGGAGAGTCACAAGATAAAATGAAACTAGTGGCAATGGTTTGAATTAAAAGATGAAATACATCAGATGTGGAAACAGTCCAGGTACTGGGACCATTCATGCATCATTTGCTGATGGACAATCCTGTGTGCAAATGCCTTTTTCTCCTTTCTAAAAAAAGAAATTGCTTCCATGGATGTCAGCTTGTGCTTACAGTTGTTAGTACTGTATATATGTATATAAATTGTCACAAAACTCTGAACGTGCAATTGGGTGTGTGTGTGTGTGTGAGGGAGAGAGAGAGTGAGTGAGAGTGCTGTTATATACTGAAACTATAACATTTATAAGAACATACATATTTTATATGTTTCTCTGCACATATATTTGCATTTTTGTTGCTTTGTTATTTTAACAAAAGCTGAGCAGGGCTGTTAAGGCTAGAGTATTTTGGAGGTCACTCATTTGTAGGGCTGCCACAGGTCATAGGCAACTTGATGGCACGTAAGAAAAAGATTTTAAAAATACAGGCACCTTGTCCTCACTAGGTCTGAGAACATCCAAAATGGGTTTTCTATTACAAATAAAGCCTACTTAAAAAAAAAGGTTTACAGTTCTACAGAAACACTTGGAATGAAGGTTACCTGTCTTTTCTCAGCTGTTATTGGGGGCAGTGCTATTGGATTAGATGGGTCTGGGGCTGACTTATAGCATTCTTATACAGTGATGCCTCGCTAGACAATGATAATCCGTTCCACTGAAATCGCTGTTTAGCTAAATCATTGTCTAGCGAGCACATATATTTGCATTTTTGTTGCTTTGTTATTTTAACAAAAGCTGAGCAGGGCTGTTAAGGCTAGAGTATTTTGGAGGTCACTCATTTGTAGGGCTGCCACAGGTCATAGGCAACTTGATGGCACGTAAGAAAAAGATTTTAAAAATACAGGCACCTTGTCCTCACTAGGTCTGAGAACATCCAAAATGGGTTTTCTATTACAAATAAAGCCTACTTAAAAAAAAAGGTTTACAGTTCTACAGAAACACTTGGAATGAAGGTTACCTGCCTTTTCTCGCTATAGCAATCGCAAAAAGCCAATGTCCAGCGAAAAAACTGTCATGCAGGGTAACTGTCTAGCGAGGCACCACTGTATATTTACTCAGCAGAATTAGCTTTGAAACTTCCATTCACATTAGGACTATACCTTTGAACAGAAGATTCCAAGGAAACACAGGGGAAGACTTTTGCCCTTGCCCTGCTTTTTGGGAATACAGTATATTTTTTCAATTGACCATGCTGAGTGATAAAAATGTCTGCATGCCCTTCCCCTCCCCAGTGCACTAAAACTGTGCAGTTCAGACCCATGCAATTCAAGGGAGGATTGTGTTCCATTCCAGAAGATCTCTGAATAGAACTGTTAAAGAAAATATGCTCATCCCAAGCTTTAGGTTCCCCATTTCTCTCCCCAGCCAAAGCCATCTCCTGAAGGCTGTCCAGCTTTGGATCTCGTGCATTTGTATTCAAAAAGCTTTGAGTTCTTTAAATTCCAGACAAAGGCAACAGAGGAGAAAGGTGGCCAAGCAACTCCTGCTTCTGTGTGTTTGTGCTTCACAATCCATTCCAAGTTTTCTTTGCTTGTCAGGAAGCAGGCAGCTTAGTGAATCTTAACTGTAGGTGACCAACTTTTACATGTAAGTTCTTCTCATGTGATGAACATAACATGCAGTTATAACACGAGCCATGCTGTTTGAGTGGAATATCAGTATACACTCAGACATTACGGGTCCCTGTTGAATCTGAGCACTGCCTACAGGCTCCACATCCAAGGAGGTGTATTCCAATCGCTTTGATCCCTGTTTTCTCCCTTTATGCTAAGCCCCATGGGGTTTAGCAAAAGGGGGGGGAGGGATCAAAGCACTGCAGAATCCTGACTGCAGGAAGCTAAGCCTCATGATTGAAGGAAGCCTGTTTGCAGAGGCAAGGTATGGGCCATTTTGTTATCTCCTCAGCTTACTTTTATGTATAAGACGAGCTCAATTTTTAGTCTATAAAGATTTTAGACAAAAGTATCATCTTATACATGGAAAAATACGGTACTTCTATCCCCAGTACATTTTTGAGGAAAACTGAAAAGGCAAGACAAAGGTTTGATATAAATATAGCTTTACTTTGGAAAGGTGGTATCTAGCTGCCAAAGGATTTCAAATCCCAAGGCAAATACAGCAAACTAGCTGGTATCTACAATAGAAACATCATACTATATTTATAAAAGAGAGGAAAAAAGTGTATTATATACAGGCAGAACTATGAATCCCCCAATAAGATGTCCACCACCCCATTCCATCTTGAAATAAACCCCACAGTCAGTCACTGAGAAAAGGCAATGCGGAAATATTGCCCGTCCTAAACCTAGGTTTGTTGAAGCAGCTGGCTGAGCTATCCACTTCCACAGCAGGCTGAACCTGGTCTTTGGTCCGGAGGTACCCTGGTGCAATGAAGTTGTGTTCTCTACCTATTCCCCCTCAGCCAGCAGAAGGAGAACGAGGAACAATCAAAAGTCATTAAATTAGGATTACAGATCAAAACTGGCAGTTCAAGTGGAACCAACTTTAACAACTTAGTTGCGCTCAAATGCTGGCACAGCCTGAGAGGTGAGTAGTCTCAAAAAGCCAAAGGATCCTTTTTTCCACCAAGACAAGGAACTGCTGTGCAAGATGCTAAGTTACTCTACAAAGAAATGTCCAAGGATTGTCCCAGCCATGGAAGTCTGGCCTGAAAGCTATCAAGATTGCAGGATCAGCATTAAGACAATTGTCCAAAATGGGAACACACACTCAGAAAAATAAATCATTTGCACCCAAGGAAAGAACTGATCTAGATTTTTTTAAAAAAAGTTTTTAAATACACATCACACCTAGGAGGGCAGATGATTAAAACACACACATAATCCAAGTTCATTCTCCTAAACTAGTTAAAAGGAAGTGACTAAAAGCATGAAAAAAATTTTAAAAGGTAATTTACAAGTTATAATTATCAAAAAAGTAAAACAGACTAACATTTTTTAAAAACAAGAACAAAAATAATGGTAAGTTGCAAGGGAGGCAGAGCCTTAAAATCAGCCGAGGGGCTCCAGGAACAAGATGATGGTGATGAGAGGCCTGCCGGTGTTTAGAATCCTGTACGAGCTTCTCATGCCATCGCCTTCCTTTCATCTGTTCATCTGCCAGAAGATGGCACATCCAGAGGCACCTACAGAATTTAGGTACATTCATTTTTTAGAATCAGTTTTAAGGCAGGGACTAATCTCTCTTTAGAAGACAGGGTCCTTGCAGATTGTATATACTGAAAAACACAAAACAGTACAGGAAGGAACCCAATTGGAGCAAAAGGCATTCCGTTTCATTTTGGCCCGCCTGACCTGATAGGCTGCAGGGGGCTTTCTGCAGCTTGGTGTTGCTTCTTGTGAATGCCAAACAGCCTTCCTCCAGGAAAGCAAGACATTTGCTCCAGAAAAGCACCAGAGGTCAAAGTCTACATTGTGCTGTTATTTGACCCCAAGCTCAGAAGCCAGGTCCTTCACACGCAAGATAAAAAAATAAAAATATCCTAAAGCAAAAGATTAAAAACATTTTTACAAAAATGTACACATTGGGCACAGGGGTGAGAGAGAGAAGATATTGTCTTCAGTAGGAAACTGGTTAAAATATCCTCTTTCGCTTCAAATAGGAGTCTGCATAGTGCCCTCCCAGGCCTTGAGAATGCTGACCAACATAGCTGCCTTCTGGGCTGGGTTCTGGAGATGGGAGCAAGTGGGAAAAGGCCCTCTTTTGGCCACCACCTGGCGTCTGAAAAATGAAGAAAGGACAGGGTGAGGGGGAAGAGAGGCAACATTAAGAGAAGGCTCACAAGACAAAGAGAAGCCTGATGTTTCAAAGGTTCTGTCCTGAGTTCAGCATCTCACCTTTGAGTAGGATCCCTGTGAGTGACTGGTTGGTCCTAGTCCCAAGATACTGTCCGCTGTGCCCACGGGTGGCATTCCGACTGCCTTGAAGACAAGGATAGAGCAGAGCCAGCATTATATTTGAGTGCAAGGCTTCCTGACACACCACTCCATTATCAAGAGTGACTCTGGAAAAGATTCTACATTGATAAAGATGCAGCCTCTCTAGATTCCTGTACAGATCCAGAGGGAAAGTTAGGCTACACAAGCAAATCTGCACTTTCTACCAAGACTTAGTGAACACAACAGGCTTGGTCTGTTTTGGATTTACTTGCTTAGCACAGCTGTAGGGCACTGGTGGGAAACACATAGCCACATCCAAATGTTGTTGGATTTCAGCTCCTACTAGTTCTAACTAGTGTATAATGGTCAAGGAAGATAGAAGTAGATATCCATCATCTGGTAGGCCAGGCATTCCCCAATTCTACTGCAAACATTCCCCAGACTTCCTGCTACTGCTTAGGTATTCTCTTCTCAGTTGACATGACTTAAAAAGAGATTTCTAAATATGTCAGAAATAAAAACATTTTTTTTCATCGTACAAGAGGAAGCTACAGTGTGAATTAAGTTACTTTTCTTTATATAATTTTGGCCAATCCCAGAAATCAATAGAAAGGTCAACAGTTGGCATGTCCTTAACATGAGGACATATATCCTGGCTGTAGGAGCTGGAGTTTGTGGGGACCGACAGCAGAGATTTTCAGGACTCTCTGAACAGTGTCCTTCTTCCCTTATTACCACAGGTCAGTGCTTTTGGGGTTCAAAAAGGATTTACCATGCAGGGTAAATTTGCAAGGAGAAGGAGTTTCTGGTGGTTCGTTCCATGAACAAATATACACCACCAGTTATACTGCTCTTAGATCACTACGCATGAGGGCACAGGAACAAGCTCAGGACAGGTTGTTATTTTCCAAATTCCTATAAACAATGCAATTCCATTATGTGTTCACTTTTCTTCTGCAAAGACTGCAGTTTATATCCTTTATTCATTCTATCCTGAAGCATTTTAAAAATTCCCCTTAATCTCATTCTACTGAAATTTGGCCACATCTGTCTCTAGCTGGGCACATAAAGAAGCGGGCTATTGTCCAACCAGAAAATTAGTGGCCATAGAGATGGAAGCATGGCACGTGGGAAGCAAACAATCCACAGAACCATCGAAGGTGGACCACATCAGGGTGCAAATCCAGGTTGCTGCAGCCAATATGCTGAACTAAAGAGGAGGAGGTCCTGCAAGTGACTACAATGTAACATATAAAGGTGTACCAAATACATTCCTGATACAAAGAACAAATTAGCACTGCAATAAAATTAATAAGGCAATCTTACTTTGTTCAGGTGGCTCTGTCTGAGACCAGCTTGAAGACCACTAGTGAAATAGGAAGTTGGGGATCCTGAGTAGAATGGAGGCAGAGGCGCTCCCAGGTTGCTCCTGTCAAATCCAGGCGATGATGCCTGAAAGAGAAGCTCCTGGTGACTCTAAGTCACTCCCCGCACACACACACTTCAGGGCAGGAAGGAGCCACTGAAAGTGATCAGGGCTCCCTTAGGCTACTGCTGCAAGGCATAGAGAGTAGGAGCCTGTACTTAGTACTGGTACTGGAGAGGAAAGATAACAGCAACTGCAGAATGTGAAAAAGCTTGCAAGATATGTTCTGTTCCAGAAGGTCAACAATCTTTCAACAATTTTAAGTAGGGTGTGATGTTAGTGACTATGCTTTGAAACAACAGATCTGGAAATGTTCGTTAACTGACCACGCACTTTGGAAGATGCTTTGGTGAGTATATGTCATAATGGCCAAAATACTTTTCTCCCCACCTGGTTCTGGGGATCCCTAGAAATCCCCTTTGTCCTGCTGAAGCATTTGGGAACTGCAAAATTGCTTGGGGGGGCTCTTTATTGCCCAAAAATTGCTGCCACCATGATCAAGAGTAGAATAGGACCAACAGCAGGGATTTTCAAGCATTAAAGAGTTACTTCTTCCATTCAGTGGTTCCCAAAGGCTTCCACGGGATGAAAGGGATTCCTCAGGATCCCTGGAGCCTGGGGGTAGGAAATGTTTAATTCCACTGAAATTCCACTGAAAATGTTTAATTCCACGACTGATGGCCTCACAGTTGTACAGCGTAAAATTGTGCAACAGGATTCCAGTTACAAACAATATTGGAACTGATGTTATGGGACATCATACTATCAATTCAGGATGTGCTTATTTCAGAATATAAAGAAGTGTAACCAAAATGTTACAGTGGGGACTGTTAAAAATGTTACAGCTATACATCAGACTGGGATGTCAATTAGCTGACACAACTTTCATGTTTGGTGCTCTTCTGCAGGATACTCCATTCAATTTCCCATTCAGTTTTCCTCAGCCTACAGCTGGCAACCTGTGAAGTTTTCACTGGATTATCATCTTGGGTTCCTCTGAAGAGAAGTCCTCATCTACCCGCTCTAAGTTCTTTTTAAAAATCTAGATAGTTCCCCAGTTCTGCATACATCTTCCTTTTGAGCATGAATGGTGGGTTTCCCCCCTACATAAATGATGGGACTCTCAAACTAAACAACATGGAGTGACACTAATGGAGATAGAAGGGGACAACTATTCAACTGCACTCTAGAATTGGTCTGTATAACTTGCATAAAGACATTTAACATAATGAGTATTTTACCTTCTGTTTGCTGTGTCCAAATCCACCTAGCTGGGGCCCAGTCTCTCTGGTCTGGGGATACATTCGTGATCCCAAATCCTATGATAGAAAACAGAAAGAGAGGAACTTTAAAATCGGTCAAATACAGTTATGATCATTATGATTCCTAAACTGTTCATGCAGTCTGAGCCTACATGGTTAACAATGAGAACTAGAAACATCTACATATAAGAAACTGGAACACTGTACCTCCCAAGTGAGTGTGGACTTCCTGGATTTGGGGATAAATGCAAGCACCACAAGCGCTCTATCCCTTGTGCTTTACAGCCAGAAAGCCACAGTAACAACAGATTCTACAATACTCACGGGCTGATAGTCAAAGGCGATGTTGTCTCCTGTCAACCCAGGTGAGGGAAGCACAGGGTCAGCTATGGAGTTCTGAGGTATGGAGTTCTGAGGAATTCTTGGATTAGAAACATTGCCAAGTACACCAGTCTTCACACTAAAGGACTTATTGACTCCACCTGTGAAGACAGAGGTGGTCACTTGCACGCAGGAACAGGGTTAGAGAATTAAGGGTACGATAGGCCTCCTTTCACATTCGACTAGGCCTACCAGAAGACACCCTTATCTAACCATACAAGACATATAACTGCTTTTTGACTGTTTATCGCAGCACCAAAAGAGAACAGCACCCAAAACATGGCACTGATGCAAGGTTAAAGACACCTGGTGGAGATGCCACAGACTTGCTTCTGTGCCAGGAATAACTGCACGATTTGTACCCCATTTACATTACAGGACCATTTATTTACATTCTGTTTTAAAAATGCATCTGCCAATGACAACCTCTAGGATTTACTTTGTAAGGGCGATGCTTAAGTCTGGAGTCTTAGCATGTTCAAGTAGACGTGTCACTGCTTTATAAAAACTTAAAAACAAATTTCGCGCAACTGCTCACAATTTACACCATTTCTCACTTCATGCAAATCATGCAATTCCCTTCATGAAACAGCAAATCTTACATTATTGGTATTAATTTATGATGCTGGTCAGATGTGTGCTCTCCTCTACAGCAGCATGGGAAGGAATGTCTACCTTAAAGCTGCAACTCTATACACACTCGATGGACAGAAGATCCTCGGCATGTTGCTGCCAACTGTGTATGCACAAAATCAGATTTTCACTGCTACAGATCGTTGCTAGCTAGTAAATGTGCACCTCACTCAAGAGTGTTTCTTGAAAGCAATTCCTTTGCAGTTAAAATGATCTATCTTAAAGCACTATTTAGTAGGAGCAAGAAGGGGTCAAAAGCTTTTGGCCTGTATTAGTTTCTGGTCCTTTCAGAGCCAGACCGTTCCTTGAATCTGAAAGGGGATGCTTTTTTCAGGTCATTATGTTTTGGCACTGACGGCAATGAGAAAAGGAGGGGAGAGGAAACCATGGGGCAGGCAAAGACCTTTCTCTTTAGGCAAGCTTCCCCTCAGTGACTGGCTACCTGAGTGTGATTTTTAGACGATTGTGATGCATCACTATTTTGAGTGGATTTTTACTTGTGTTTACCATTTCTCATAGTGATATTTGTTTGTCCCTTTTCAATATTTGTGCATTCACTGTTTTTAGTGTTAATATTGTCTTTTAATTATGTAAGTTGCCTTTTTATACTCATTGTTCTTAACTTTAAATATTGTCTTTTAATGACAGTGAAAATAACAGACTGAAACTTTCCAACAGTGGAGAGTAAATACCAAAAGAACAAATACAAGAACAGAGTCAAAATCCAAAATACTATATTAACTGGTGTTTATAATATCTTACAACAAAGTATATAACCTGGTTATTAACTATGCCTCTTAAACTTACCACAGATACCACTCACTATTTTCTAACAAGTAAAGGCTGACATGACTATGCCTCTCTCTCTCTCTCTCTCTCTCTTGCATAAAAAACAACTTGCGCCAGCAGTTCCCAAGCCATGGCCTCCTCACCTCCAAGCTTGCCTGTAGGAAGAAGGCTTTGCAAGTTTAAGTAAGGATTCAAGGGAATCTTGAAGTCCTTTGGTGGTTCTCCTAGCAGAGAGACCTGTAAGAGAAATAAAGAGTAGGCACCAGTTCTTGACGGTGATCATCAACTAATGGGTTAGTTCCCAAATAAGGCAAGTCACACCAGCTGTGACATTAAGAAAAAACCTATTTCAGAGAGAAATGGCAAAAACAGAAAGACTCAGTGCACACCACTGAATCAAGTCAGAAATTAATACCACAGAGATATTTTTAAAAATCTGGAGACAACTCTACATATGTGTGAGACACTGATTTGATTACAGGAGATACTGTAAGGCAGGCAAGACAACAGCACTAGTTTTACACAGGTATTGATTGCTTGTAATCAAAAGAGGGAAAAAGTCTGCATGCCCATTTTACTCCTTAAGATGTCCACCTAGAATTGGGTTTTTTTTTTCACTTGCTTGCTCAAGTTTGAATCTGTTTAGGTATCTTAGGGCACTAAAGATTTTGGGAGGAAAAGCAATGTGAATGAGAGGAAGATCTGTATGAGACAGAGGAACAAGATTGTGGAGGCCCAGATGCAATGCACAGCAGGACAGCTTCATCCCAGAACAGAAATAGATGGGTTACTTACCTGTAACCATTGTTCTTCAAGTGGTCATTCTGTGAATTCACACAAAAAGGGTTAAGTCAGCGCCAGCGTCGGTCCCTTCGGAATGTTCTCGAGTTCTGGAGGAAAAGAAACATAATTTAAGGCTGCCTATACTGCGCATGCTCTGCCCGCCCAAGCCTCAATTCCATTTCTCCGCCATAGATACCCAAGCATGAGCTATACGTATCCAGTGACGGATAGTGGGGAGGTCGGGCAGGATTGTGTGAATTCACAGAATGACCACTTGAAGAACCATGGTTACAGGTAAGTAACCCGTCTTTCTTCAGCGTGGTCTTCTGTGAATGCACACAAAAAGGGTGACTAGCAAGCTTACTCACCGGAAGGAGGGCCGTCACTGAAGTGCAGATGCCAGCACAGCTCTCCCGAACCTCGTTTCCTTTTTGGCCCTCAAGTCCAATCTGTAATGAGTGATAAAGGTGGACACCTGGGACCAAGTGGGAGTCCTGCAGATACCAGTCAAGTCGACACCACGTAAGAGAGCTGTAGAAGAGGCAACCACTCTGGTGGAGTGAGCACGCAAGCCGTCCGGCGGTGTCTTCTGTTGGAGTTCGTAGGCCAAAGCAATTGTGGAAACAAGCCATCTCGAGAGCGAGGAGGGCAAAGCCGGGAGACCTTTCTTCTGCCCGAAATAGCACAGAAAACGTTTCGGAGACAACCTAAAGTCTGTAGTCCGTGAAACATAAAGTGAAAGTGCCCTTTTAATATCCAAGGTGTGGAGCATGCGCTCCATGTCATTGGCAAGTTTAGCAAACAAGGTAGGAAGTATGAGAGGTTGGTTCAAGTGAAAATTAGAGACTACTTTTGGAAGAAACGATACGTCAGTGTGCAGTACCACTTTATCATAAAAAAATTGTAAGAAGGGTTGATCAGCTCGAAGAGCAGCAAGCTCGCCAGCTCTGTGAACAGACGTGATAGCCACCAAAAATAACACTTTGAGTGACAACATCTTCAGATCACAGGAAGTAAGTGGTTCAAAAGGTGGACGCATCAGGGAGTGCAGCACCAAGTGAAGTGACCATTGCGGTACTGGTGGTTTAACTGGGGGTCTCAAATGGATGAGTCCTTTTAGGAAAGCTTTAACCGTAGGTGAGAAAACAACCGAGAAGCAGGTGAATCTCGAGGTTGGAAGGATACAATGGCCACAATGTAAACTTTCAAGGTGGAAACAGATAAGGTGAAATCGAACAGCTAACATAAAAACAGTAACAATGTAGAAAGTGAGACCAGAGAAGGAGAAAGGCCTCTAGCTTCGGTGAACTTAAGAAAACTTTTCCATTTGTAACCGTATAACAAAGCAGTTGACGCTTTTTTGGATCTGTCTAAGATCTCCTTGATCTCGGGGATATTCTCCATGCAGTGAGATGTATCGTGTTCAGGTCCGGGTGGAAGACCCTGCCCGCATCCTGAGTGAGTAGAGCGGGAGAACGCGGAAGCCTCACAGAGTCTGTTGCCATTGATACTAAGGTCGGAAACCACGACTGACGAGGCCAGAAGGGTGCCACCAGGATCGCCTCTGCAGACTCCTGTCGAAGCTTCACTAACGTCTTCTGTATAAGAGGAAACGGAGGGAATAGGTAAAGCAGGCCCACCTTCCATGATATCATGAACGCATCCCCCATCGATCCTTGTCCTCGACCTGCTCTGGAGGCGTAACGTGGACACTTCTTGTTTCGCTGCGTAGCAAAAACATCTATGACGGGTGTGCCCCAATGGCAACACAGGTCGTGGAAGACCGAGACATCCAGTTCCCATTTGTGCATTTGACTCGTGCAAAGACTGAGTTCGTTGGCTAGCACATTGTCCTCCGTCAACACATGAACTGCCACCAGAAAAATGTGATGACGGTAGCACCATTCCCAAAGTATCACAGCCAGAAACAGTAGGGAGTGAGAGTGTGTGCCCCCCTGTTTGTTGATGTAGTTCAGTGGTTCTTAATCTTTTTGAAAGAAACGCCCCCTTGAGCCATTGAGGAAGTTATCATCGCCCCCCTCCCCATGGTGATGATATCTTTCTTATTGATTGATTGATTGATTGATTGATTGATTGATTGATTGACACTTAAATCCAATGACCCCTGAAAACAAAATTCAATTGCAAGAAAATGAAATGCCCCCCAAAAGTAACATTTTATGATTTAGTTGCAAGTGAATTTTAAGACGCAAAAAGAAATATAAAAAGGGCATAAAATATACCGCAATGCAGGAACTAAAAATTTCAAGATGAAAACTCTGAAACTAAATTAAGATTGGAGGAAAATATATATTCATGCACACTGTAAAAAGGCTGCAGCCATCTTCACAGGTTTGGCTTGCTCCAGCGCCCCCCTACCGCCCCCTTCTGCTCCAGCGCCCCCACACCGCCCCTTTTCGTTCTACCGCCCGGGGCATTATCGCCCACGTTAAGAACCAAATGGCCGTAGTGTTGTCCGTGACTATCTGAACACCACGACCATGTACTAGGGGGAAGAAAGCTTTGAGAGCTTTCATGACTGCTAAAATCTCCTGGTAGTTGATGTGAAACTTTTGCTCCTGGGTCGACCACAGAGCATGCACATGATGATGCCCGCAGTGAGCCCTCCATCCGGTAGGACTCGCATCTGTGGTGACTTGCACGGTTAACCTCAGAGGTCGGAACGGACGTCCCACTTGCAAGTGTGGAACAAAACTCCACCACTGCAGCTGTTGTGCCAGTTCTGGAGTATCTCGAAGACGCTTCTTCTGGTGGTCCGGGAGAGGGTTGAAAAGGGAGAGGAACCACACCTGAAGAGATCTTAGTTTCAACCAAGCATGAGTCGAACCGGAAGTTATTGATGCCATCAGGCCCAGAAGATGCTGAGCATGTCTGGCTGATACTGTGGCTCCTGGTCGGAATTTTTTTACTGCCTTGCAGATTTTTTGGATCCATTCTTGTGGAAGAAAAATACGACCCTTGGACGCATCTATCGTGGCAGCAATGTAGTTCACAACTTTGGAGGGTATGAGATGAGATTTCTTGTAATTTACTGTGAGTCCTAGATTCCGAAGTACATGGAGGATGAAACTTGTGTCTTTCAGGGCTCTGCGTCTGGATGGTGAGACGACCAGCCAATTGTCGATGTATGGAAACACATGGACACCGTTTAGGCTCAGGTAAGCCGCAACAGGTGCCATGCACTTTGTGAATGTTCTGGCGGCTGTGGCAAGCCCGAATGGGAGAGACAGAAATTGGTAAATAACGTCCTGAAAGATAAACCTGAGAAACTGCTGATGAGCGGGATGGATAGTTATGTGGAAGTATGCGTCTTTCAGATCTATGACCACAAACCATTTTTTTCGTTTTAGCAGATGCATGATGGACTCCAACGTCACCATCCGGAATTGACGTGGATGCAGGTAAGTGTTTAGAGTTCTGAGGTCTAGAATGGGCCGTATTCCCCCGCCTTTTTTTGGGAACAGCGAAGTACCTTGAATAAAAGCCGTTTATGATGTCTCTCCTTGGTACCTTTTGGATAGCGTTCTTTTGTAGTAAAGAGCGAACCTCCTCTTCTAGGACAGGATCGAATTATGTATGTTCTACCTGACCTAGAGGTGGATATTCTGTAAATTCCAGTCGATAGCCGTAGGAGACGATGTCCAGAACCCAGGAATCCTTTGTGATGGTGGACCAATTGTGAATAAAGGGTTGGAGTCTTATGGCAGGACTGGAGAGCGACAATACTGCCGCCGAGTCAAAGATAATGTTTCTGTTTCTTGGCAGGTAGTTTAGTACGATTGTCGGCGCGGAGAAGACTGAGCACGGTAAGTGGAGGTTGTAGAAGTACCCTGTGATGATCTGGACTGAGATTGCCCCTTGTATTGTCTGTATTGTTGAGGGGCTGGGTTATATTGGGCTGGAGACTTTTTCCATTGATACCTGCTAAATCTAGGCTGAGGCTGAATGTAGTAGGATTTGGCTGTCTTTTTGGCCTTGTGTAGTTCCTCAAGATGACCATCAGTTTTCTCATTAAAAAGACCAGAGGCATCAAATGGCAAGTCCTCCACCTTGGTCTTTACATCATCCAGAATGTTTGCGGAACGAAGCCAGGCATGCCTGTGAAGAGTCACAGAAGATACCAGCACCCTGGCAGCAGCTTCAACCGAATGCCTAACAGAGATTCTCTGATGTTTAGAAACAGTCTGTGCCTCTTCAAAGTGTTGAGGTAACCCTGTCTAACATCCTCAGGTAGCATCTTCAAACCTGGCAAGACCTTCAACCACAATTGCTTTTGGTAGGCTCCTAAAGCAGTCTGATAATTAGCTACTTGCAGCATGAAGGAAATGAGGGAGTAAATACGTCTGCCTATCATTTCCAACTTCTTGCCTTCCTTATTCGTTGGAATGACATGCACTTTTCCTGATGGCTTTGTACAACTGGTCTCTACTATTAAGGAATTAGGGATAGGATGCTTTAACAAGAACTTAGCATCATCACCGTTGATCTTGTACATGTTTTCAGTACGTCGCGGCAATGGGACTGAAGCTGAAGAATGGTCCCAAAGTTCTTTAATAATACCCAACAATGCCGGCAAGAACAACAAACTAGGGGGCGGGGGATCGCTCCTTGTTAATATCCCCAAAGATAAGATCTTCCTCTGGAGGAGCTGGCTCATCGACGCAGAGCTTAAGCGTCTTCACCAACTGAGACAACATCTGGGAATAGGAGGAAAAGTCTTCTGAAGGTAAAGAGTCATGCGGATCACCAGTGTCAGATTCCACTGTCTCTCCCACCGGCAACTCGTCTGGCTTAGGTTGTTGAGGGGGTTCGCCCTCAGAATCAGAGACCTGAGAAGAGAATGAGACCTCATTGTCAGATGATAATTCATGACCTCTCTTTCGGTGGCAAGACTCGATGTCGAGTGGTGGCGCGCTGAGGGGGTGGAGACGCGGTCGATGCCAAGGGAGGCGCATTGGGAGTTTCCATAGGCTTGACTACAGGTGGAGCTGCTTGGGGAACCTTCTCAGCCACTAGACGGTGTTGACGTTNGGGGGGGGGGGGTCGACGCCGAGGAAGAGGACGAGACATATATGTACTTAACACAGCGGCGGCATCGATGGCAATCAGACGACGTCGATGATGACGAGGTGGAAGAACGGCGTCTGTGGCGCCGCCTGTGTCGTCTGTGCCTCGATCCCAAACTTGCTGAATTGTCTGAAGACGATCTACGACGATGTCGAGAACGGCAGTGTTTCCGTTCACTGTTCCTGTGAGGGGATCGATGTCGATCGCGAGAACCACGTCTCCATTTCTCAGCCTTTTTCTGAAGAGGTGACTTGGGACGCAAAGGCAGAGGAGATACGGAATGAGCTGGTGATGCCCGCCCAGTGGAAACAGGGCTTAACGGGGCAGAACTCAAGCTTGCAGTAGCGTGAGCAAGCTGACTTGGTGTCAGCGAGGGAACACCAAGGGGTAAAATCGTCTCAGCCTGCGTAGGTGGGAGCGAAGTGGCGGCCTCCGACATTGAATCTCTATCCCTCGACGAATCCTCCAAAATGGGGGAGGGGAGAGACGAAGGTATAGGTAGTACTTGTGGAACAGGGTCCTTGGTCTTAGTTAACCCTTTGATTTTTGTTTGCTTTCCAGGTTTGGCGGTGGCTCCAGCCTTAGCAGCAGACGTTTTCTTTGATGTGGATGGCTTCTAAGGAGGTTTTCAAGCAGATACCTCCGTGGGTTTAGAAGTGAGTAATTCAGCAGAATTTCCTTCAGCACGGGGGGTAGTGGAGGGAGATGGAAGTTCCATAGCAGATGGGTTTGAGGCTGACAAGGCAGAATCCCACAAATGTAATTTTAGCCGCTGTTGTTGCGCTTTTAGGGCAGCCTTGGTAAACACCTTGCAATGTTGGCAGTTTTGCGAGGAATGGGTTTCACCAATGCAAAAAAAGCAAGTATCGTGCCTGTCGTGGTATGGGATTTTAGCGGAACAGACAACGCACTGACTGAAGGGGCCCGAAGGGGGGACCATAGACAAGACCGGGAGGCAGCCAGTAAAAAGAGCGGGGGGGGGACCCCAAGGGGGCAGCGGTAAAAGGAACGGAAACGCCAAAACAGAGTCCGAATAGCCAAGAGAAGAGTTGGTAAAAACACGCCAAGTTCAGAACCAGAAAAAGATTAGCAAAAAAGGAAGTTTGGTAGAGCTCAAGCTGAGAAGAACCACTTCGCACGGTGGAGAAATGGAACTGAGGCTTGGGCGAGTAAAGCATGCGCAGTACAGGCAGCCTTAAACTATGTTTCTTTTCCTACAGCGCTCAAGAACATTCCGAAGGGACCGACGCTGGCGCTGACGTAACCCTTTTTGTGTGCATTCACAGAAGACTACGCTGAAGAAGATTCTAATTTCTAAATGCACTAGTACTGTAACAAATGTACAGTGGTGCCTCGCTTAACGGGTGCCCTGTTTAACGAGGAATTCACTTAACGAAGAAGATTTTGCGATCGCTTTTGCGATCGCATAACGTTGTTTCCTATGGGGAAAAATCGCGCCAGGCAAGACAACAGCACTAGTTTTACACAGGTATTGATCGCTTGTAATCAAAAGAGGGAAAAAGTCTGCATGTGCATTTTACTCCTTAAGATGTCCACCTAGCTGACAAGGCAGAATCCCACAAATGTAATTTTAGCCACTGTTGTCGCGCTTTTAGGGCAGCCTTGGTAAACGCCTTGCAATGTTGGCAGTTTTGCAAGGAATGGGTTTCACCAATGTAAAAAAGGCAAGTATCATGCCTGTCGTGGTATGGGATTTTAGCGGAACAGACAACGCACTGACTGAAGGGGCCCGAAGGGGGGGGCATAAGCAAGACCGGGAGGCAGCCAGTAAAAAGAGCGGGGGGGACCCCAAGGGGGCAGCAGAAAAAGGAACGGAAACGCCAAAACAGAGTCCGAATAGCCAAGAGAATAGTCGGTAAAAACACGCCAAGTTCAGAACCAGAAAAAGACTAGCAAAAAAGGGAGTCTGGTAGAGCTCAAGCCGAGAAGAACCACTTCGCACGGCGGAGAAATGGAACTGAGGCTTGGGCGGGCGGAGCATGCACAGTATAGGCAGCTTTAAACTATGTTTCTATTCCTACAGAGCTCGAGAACATTCCGAAGGGACCAACACTGGCGCTGACTTAACCCTTTTTGTGTGCATTCACAGAAGACCACGTTGAAGAAGATTCTAATTTCTAAATGCATTAGTACTGTAACAAATGTATTTATTTATTTCATTGATTTATATACCACCCCATTAGCTCTATACACTGTTCTGGGTGGTTAACAAACAATAAAGACAGGCAGACTATGGCAAAAGAACCAGCAATGAAATCATGAAATAAAGACAGTATAATATTGAAAAACACAGCCTGTAAAAGGTCAATAAACTCTACCCAGCCACAAGGACCAGGGATCATTGCACAAAAAAGACCAGCTAACAACACCCATCAATCACAGTAACAGATAATCTCTCCCTCCTTATCACAACAAAAAACACACTGATCACCCTATCTCCTGAAAAAAAAAAAGCTGTTCCCACAGCTATACTTAACTATCCAACAAACAGCAACAGAGCATGGACAGAGTTCCTACTCCAGTCCTCTGAAGATGCCGGCCACAGAGACTGATGAAACATCAGGAAGAACAACCTTCAGAACACAGCCAAATAACCCGAAAAACCCACAACAACCAACAGTATAATCAACTTTGTTGATTGAATAAATGCTAAAAATGTAACATAAGGAAAACAAGAGTACTGCAGACTTCTGAAGACAACATAAACGTTCATGGCTAGCATCTCATCAGATAAAATAAAAATTGTTAGTCTTTAATGATGCCACAATGAAATATGTTGTTTCTGTGACAGCAATGGAAAAGACGTTCCAGCAATGTAAACTTGTGCCTGGTGCTAGATTTCTCAACCAAGTACTGTGACTGTCCCACACTTACCCCAGAAGGAGGAGGCCCATTATCTGGCTGCTTGGGCTTCTGAAGTCCACTAATTACAGAGCCCAGGATGGAGGTGGTGAGGCCTTGCAGGCCAGGTGGGGTCAGCTGGGGGGTCTGTGAACCCATCACAGAATTCTCCCGCTCCATTCCTAATGGTCCCAGAAAGGATGGTAAAGGCAAGTTCCCAGAAGGCAAAACTGGAGACTGCACAGGTCCCGGAGAGATCTCAGCAGGGAGAGAACCACCTAGGCAGAAAACGCACAACCAGGTAAGAACCAGTTCCTAAAAATGAAATTGTTATGGAAGACACTGTCTTAATATGATAATTGCACATTCTGAAGTTTATTATATACCTTCACTGCAAGGGACAGTGTGCGTGGAAGAAATAATAATTGTTTATCATTAATCTATATTGCATCAATCTGTATTGTATGTATTAGAAAATGAATAACAAGAATAAAAACTTACTGAAATTTTTAAAAGGGATAAAAATCCTCTGACAGCAACAAGGCAGGATAGGTGAAATGAAATTAACTCTGAATAGAGTACTTGCCAGATCATCTTTAGCTGATGTAGAAAAGAGACACTTCGATAATCCTATCTAAGTAAACCCTCTGATAAAAAGTAGCTAAACAATATTTTTCCTTTAATTTAATGGCATGTCTTCTTTTTAAAAAGAAACTTTTTTCATTTTTATTTTTTACAATTCCAGTTGAACTAGCATGCAAATTTCAGTCCTAGCTGGTGGAGGCTAAAAGGAGAACAGATTCCCTCTCAGGGCAGGCATTTATCCACCTATCCAAGTACTGCTCAGGCTGTTGCCAAGACAGGGGAGGAGAGCTGTGATTCCTAATGACAAGCTCTCAGCAAAAGGACAACAAAACATCCAAACCTAAGTGGTCTAAACAGATAACCTATCAGGTTTGCTTAAAGCAACGGCTATCTTAGATAAATCAGGACAACCAACCTAGATAATCAGGAGGCATATGGTTATGGAGCGGTGAAGTTACAAGTTTTGGGGGTAGGCAGAGAAACTCTGCACTGTAAAATCTAGAATGGCACTGCTAGAAAACCTAGACATGGCACTCTCCAGTGCCACCTTTGCCAAAAGTAGCTGGGGGTAAATAGGGGTCACAGGGCACAAGTTCGAGGATGGCTGAGCTACAAGGCTCCCTGTGAGGGACAGGAATGTGCATGTTTAACATTTTATTCCAGTTTCAAATCCTGCAGCAGTTTGGAAAATTTTGAATCTGAATTGCAACTTTTGTGTGAAGAGCAGAACAGATCTAGAGTGGTATACAGGCAAGACAACTAGAACAGTTTCTCCCTAAGCCTTTAGCAAGACGGTTCATGTGCAGAGTTTTTACTTCCCATTCACAACGTTTAGAAACACAGTCATTTCTTTAAAATTATAGAGTTCTGCATAAGATTTATGTTCCCATGACTATCTAGGTTATGTCTTTACTGTTTAAGAAATGGGGTCTCCGGACAAACCAATAACAAGAAACAGCATAAATTAGCCTTGCATTTATTAGCCTTGCATTTAAGTACAGTACTTGCGTGGTTGCCACAGGTGACCAAAAATTCTAGAAGGGCACATGGAATTTCATTCATGAGTGAGATGGCTGGCAGAGGAGGCACAGACTGGTTTGTTCCAGCTTGCCAGCTCACCTGATTTCTATGCTACCCACAGGGCACAGAAGAGTGAGCAATACGGCCACAACCATTCTCATGTGACTGTAGCTGGCATCTGGGGGAGCACTGAGCCGCCTAGAGTGGTCTGGTAGTCCAGATAGGCGGGGTACAAATCAAATCATATCAAATCAATCAATCAATAAACAAACAAACAAACAAACAAATCAGTTGTAGTGTGGGAAGGTCCTCCAGTGGCCTTGTGACTATGAGATCTACCTGCATGGGAGCTTGGCACTACGAGGAAGTTTCAAAGTCCCAGAGAGGAACTGAAAGGACAGTGGCAAAGCTTGAGGAGGTGCAGAGTGCCAACCACCTTGTCTCTGGGGATCGTTTTAGAGCCACTGCCATGCTTAACTAGACTTCCATCCAGCTACAATGTAGGCTGCAGAGGCAGAACTTTGCACCTTGCATCTACTGGGGAAAAAAAGGTATCAAACCATTTCTGTTTACAAACATCTCATAGGAGCCTCAAAGCTGTTTTGGCAGTAGCAGATCCACAATGAAGGTGCCCCAGAGATCATTCCTGTTGTTTTTCCTCCATGCTGCATTCTCTTGCTGGCTCAGGGTGGGTTGCTCATAAACACATTCTTTGTTTCCCAATTTAATTTCCTCACCACAAAAAACCCATGTGCATCAGTAAGAACAACCACACTGCTCCTGCAACAAAACACTTGTAAAGTGTTATTTCCAAGTTATTGTATTAGTAGGGACCATGCTGTGTATGCATTTCTATCTGTGTTTGTATTATTATTTCATTTTATTTTTATCTTCTTCTGTTCGCTGCCCAGAGTAGTGGCTCCGCTACTAGTTGAGCAGGAGAAAAATGTAAATAAATAAGTAAACCTAATTAGAGAAGCCTATTTTATAGAAGAGAAAGAGGACAAACAGAGTGGATTTGTGGGTAATTTTTTAAAATCATGAACAAAGTTAATGTTGGAAAAGAGAAGCAATGGCTTGATCCCTGTCCTGGAACTCAAATGATGGCGAGGCAGACATACAACAACAGAACCTCTGAAATGACTGCTCAGTTCATCCTTCGTTCGCTTGCACACAACGAAAGTGAAGCGCCTTTTCTTCTGGCTGCAATGAATCAGGCTGGCTTTACCTTGGCACAGAGCTCGGCCCTCCCTTCCGCTGTACCTGAAGGGAAGTTAGAACAATATCCCTTTCACTGAAAGGCTTTGTCCCTGTCCCTGAAGGGAGGCTGAGACTACAGAGCACATGTTCTTCACTTGCCTGGACTACAAAGCAGCCCGTATGGAGATCATCACCCCACTGATAAAAAACAAACAAAAACCTCACCATTCAAAAAAGAACAGACTTGAGTTTCTTCTTTCTGATATAGACCCCAAGATCACTTACCAAGTAGTCAGCTTTTGTATGGCGATACTCAAGTATTGGAAATGCTATGGGAAATAGATACTAGATATCAAATTGTCTTTTAATGTCAAATGTTTCTACAAAGTATCTGGAATTTTGTAAAGATATATTTCTTTTCTGTATGGCTGGTCTAAAGACTGGAAGAATAAACTGACTGATTGACTGAACCAGACTGGCAAAGAAGCAATCCGTCCATGTTTTCTCTGGTTCGCCAGTGGTTAGCCACAGGAAGCAAAGCCTCTTTCTCTAAATATAACACAGCAGTCGAGCGGACTGATGCCATGGTAATGGATCACTATCTCCTCCACAACCACTATCTGTGGCCACAGAGGAGGCAGAGACTTTTGGAACACTCCAGGCAAAGACCAAGCAGGGAGTCAGAGGGTGCAGATGGCATTCCCTCTCTCCTTTGCCAGCAAGCGGCTTCCCTCTCTCCTTTGCCAGCAAGCGGCTTATCAAGCTCACCGATTTCTTTCAGCTGTCTGCTTTCACACAGCTGAAGCAAAGGAAAATTCACTTCCACATCTTCTTACAAGTTGAGAACAGATTTTCACAGGTCAGCAATTTTGTCTATGAACAAAGCTCCACGGTTTCAGGCCTGAAGCTGCAAGATCTGAGGCCTGATGCTGCAACTGAACCATGCTCCTCTCTGGTTATGGCCTGAAAAACAGACCCACAAATCCACATTTGTGCCTGCCTGTTCTCTAGCACCTCTGCTTTTAAAAAGAGCTGCAAACAACTGCTGCTACAACAGTCACTTTCTTGGAAGGAGAGAATCCTCACCAGTTACGACCCCTCTTATTTGGAAAGTCAGGTGAAGAAAAGGGGACTGGACCTGATGATTTATAGGGTCCCTTCTAGCTCTGCAGTTCCAAGATGATGATGATGATTTGTTTATTTATTTTCAACTTGCAGTCATCACTTACATGTTTCATAATAAAACCAGAACAGCTGCCTCAATTCTAGTTGGAAAACAATCATACAAATGTTGCTTTACTTCAAGAAGTTCAGCACAGCGAGTCTAAAAGCAGTTTCTCTTTGCCAACTTGCTCTTTCTGCCTGCACAAAAATAACCAACTACCTGCATCACCTGACCCTGACAACTACTCAGGTTGGGTGGGTAATTAGTTTACTGCATCAGACAAATAAAACATGTACATATTGCTACCTTAGAGGACCTCTAGCACTGACAGTCCCTCTAAGGCTGTTACCCAGAAATGACAGACACAGTGCCATGAGAACATTTCACACATGGGGGCGAAGGAAGTCTGAGCAAGTGCCAGATGTTCCCTGTTTTTACTTCTCCTCATCCATACCTTCCGCCGCCCCCACCCGATCTAATTATGGACACTCACATAGGCAAGCAAGCTCTTCAGTACAGATCTCTTTAGCTGATCAGAAGAAGCAGGCATACATTTGGATGTGCATCCAAATATGCAACCACACTCAGGTGGGTTTGTTCTACTAGACTGATTTCGCTGGAAAGTATGAACATAACAATGAGAGGTGGAAGATTTATTCCACCGAAAGCAATCCATTATGACAAGTCACTAACACTGAGATGTACCCCCTACTCCTAACTTAACCAGGGATAGCTTTGCTCAGAGGTCTCTTTTTTCCCCCTTGCAGAGAGCTCCCTAGGTGGTTCCATAGAAATGGTTCTCAAGGACAGACAGGACAAATCTTTTGCTCCAGTAGGCAAATGCCTTACATGACATGTCAGGATGAAACTGAAGCGACCGAAGCAACCACTTTCAGGAGACAAAAGAGCAAGCAGCCAGGGACTGCTCCTGCATTTTCTAAGGACAAGAGCTCTGGGGAGCAGGGGGTTCTTCCCACTGCCCTTTTCCATGCAGTGAAGGTGAGAACTGGTGCCCGGTTTGGCAAAAGGCGGTGAAGAAAGGGAAGTGGCTCAGTTGTTATCTCCCTCTCAAGGCAGGTTTACCACTCTGCCACCCTTTACACTTTAAGAAGGCACTAGGCTGCAGACCCATGCCCTTTCCTTCCTCTCAACCAAAAGCTGAAGTGGAACAAACAGACCGCTTGTAGCCTTTCAACATAACTTTTTAACTCCAACCACTGCATTCTGCTCTCTGCAGCAGACATGTGCAGCCCTTGTCTTTTACTGATATTTGGAGGATAGGTTGGCTTAGAAAGCCCAGGGTTTTTTGTTTTGCTATTTGCCTTCTGAGCAAAAAGAGAAAATTATTCCTTTAGTAGAAGAGTCGACTCCAATGCCCTTTCTGGGTCTGCTTTGACACCCAGTCTGTTAAAATTTGTGACCAATATACAGTGGGGTCTTGACTTGAGAACGTAATCCATATTGGAAGGCGGTTCTCAAGTCAAAAAGCCTCTCAAGGCAGGTTTACCACTCTGCCACCCTTTACACTTTAAGAAGGCACTAGGCTGCAGACCCATGCCCTTTCCTTCCTCTCAACCAAAAGCTGAAGTGGAACAAACAGATGGCTTGTAGCCTTTCAACATAACTTTTTAACTCCAACCACTGCATTCTGCTCTCTGCAGCAGACATGTGCAGCCCTTGTCTTTTACTGATATTTGGAGGATAGGTTGGCTTAGAAAGCCCAGGGTTTTTTGTTTTGCTATTTGCCTTCTGGGCAAAAAGAGAAAATTATTCCTTAGTAGAAGAGTCGACTCCAATGCCCTTCCTGTGTCTGCTTTGACACCCAATCTGTTAAAATTTGTGACCAATATATGAGATTTAAAAAAACAGCTCTACAAGGCAAGAAAATTTCACACAGTGCTTCTGTTGTCAGGAAGTAATATTTTCCTGTGAGAGTGGTTCTTAAGTCAAAATGTTCTTAACTCAAGCCGTTCTTAAGTCAAGACCCCACTGTAAGTAAGAGATTTAAAAAACAGCTCCACAAGGCAAGAAAATTTCACATAGTGCTTCTGTTGTCAGGAAGCAGCATGTGGATGCCCATCAACACTACCTTGTGCATTACTCAAAATCTTTACATGTATTTCCTGTAACATATTTTAAACTCTAAGCTGTTTTAGAGAGCCATCCATTTTGGTTTGGATTTATATAATCCACTCTGTGCTTTGCATCAGAATGAGCTATACACCTTCTAGATGTACTGACTGAAAAAATGGGAATAACAAATGATACTTCTGCCTGAAAGATTTCTTGTACAATTCTGCAGAGGGAGGGAGGGAAGGAAAGAAGGAATGAAGGAAAAACAAAGGTTAAGAACCACTGTTCTAGATGCACTGACTGAAAAAATGGGAAAAACAAATGATACTTCTGCCTAAAAGATTCCTTGTACAATTCTGCAAAGGGAGGGAGGGAAGGAAGGAATGAAGGAAGGAACTTCTGCCAAGCTACCCTTAATTTTAAGACAAAGCCTATCAGTGCCATTCCTCCACTGAAGTAGATAAATGCATTCTTGGGATTTGAATGAGCAAGGTAAACATTCTAAAAGGATATAAGAAAATGAACCCCTCTAATACATAGGTTACCTGATGTTGTTGGTCCCTTATAATGAGCTAGAATTCACTTTGGGTTTTCTCTTCATTCCCCACGTTTCTCCTTCTTTACTGCAATCGGTATTCACTTTATACTCCACTGAAGTAGATAAATGCATTCTTGGGATTTGAATGAGCAAGGTAAACATTCTAAAAGGATATAAGAAAATGAACCCCTCTAATACATAGGTTACCTGATGTTGTTGGTCCCTTATAATGAGCTAGAATTCACTTTGGGTTTTCTCTTCATTCCCCACGTTTCTCCTTCTTTACTGCAATCGGTATTCACTTTATAGTGGTGGTCCCCAACCTTGGGTCTTCAGATGTTCTTGAACCTCAGCTCCCAGATATCCTGGACAGCAGTGGTGGTGGTGAAGGCTTCTGGGAGTTGTAGTCCAAGAACCTCTGGAGGCTCAAGGTTGGGGACCACTGCTTTATAGAACAGAAATTCTCTAACTTCTTGTAGGAAGCTTTGTTCAAAGAGCAGAAAAGGTCTGAATGCATGACCACGCACCAGAACTTACCAGAGGACATCTCACCCACCAAATGATTTCCTGTCTGAGAACTTGGAGTGTTTGGGATCCCCATGGCTCCATGCTGCAAGGAGCCCAATGGAGACTCTCCCAAGATTCCTGGTTTCTGCAAATAAATAAAACAAATATTTTTTAAAACATTAACAGGTTTCAACAACTAAAATGCAAGCTAATACTTGGTGTGCTAAGCAAACCAAACAAAACCCAGGTATGAGCCCACTATAAGCAGCTATTCTCAAGCCATTACAATGAACGTGCTGGGGGAGAGGGGAACTGATCTGATCAGCATAAGGCACTAACCCACAAGTTATCAACTACAACCACACTGCAGAAGTGACCAAAATGCTCTAAGAAATACAGAAAAACTGGGTCTTCTTGGCAAGCTAAGTTCAGGGACAGAATATACATCCCCACTTTACCTTCTGTGAGTAGAGCTAGTCTGTGTGGTATTAAGCAAGCTGCACAGTCCCAGGATGCCCCCAGAAAAAGGGAATAAGCCAGCCTGTGTGGTATTGAGCAAGCTGCACAGTCGCAGGATGCCCCCCGAAAAAGGGAATGGTAAACCACTTCTGAGTATTCTCCACCTGGGAATTCCAGGAAAAGGGTCACTATAAGTCATAACTGGCTTGATGACATATGATAATGATGAGTTAAGGCTTTGCAGTTAGACGGGAGAAGAGGGGGAGAGAAGTGCCCCAATAGCTTTCAGATCCTCTGAAGATGTGACCATACCTTTCAAGGGAGTAGCCTAGGAAGAGTTTAGCCAACACAAAAGGCCCCCAAACACCACAACACAAACAGGATACCACAGCACAAACTGTTAGTTAAAGCTCTAGCACACACCTATGTTCCCCGCTCCTATGAAGGGATGAACTGCAGCTGCTATAAATTCTTTCATGGAAATGTTAGCATTTTAGCACCAACCCTGAAAACATCTAGTAAGGAAAGCCCTGGCTGACACCATTTCCTCTCCAGACCTGTTATGACAGAAGTTATTTCTACCTGAGAATCAGCTGAAAATTGTGAAGCTTTGACTAGATCATGCACAAGATAGATTTTGCTCCTCAACTGCACCACCGACAACATGAACAGTAGCACAACATTCAAGGCTAGCTAGTTTTAATATACAGTGGTGCCTCGCATGAAGACATTAATTCGTTCCGCGAAAATCGCTGTAAAATGAATACATTGGACATTAATTTTAAAAAGCCCACAGAAACACATTAAAACCTGATTAATGCGTTCCTAGGGGCTTCAAACTCACCGTCCAGCGAAGATCCTCCATAGTGCGGCCATTTTCGCTGTCCGTGCAGCGAGGAATCCATCCCAGAAAACAGCGGGCGGCCATTTTGAAACCGCCGATCAGCTGTGCGGAAATTATCGCTTTGCGATGATCAGTTACCGAAACAGGGGACCGATCATCGCAAAGCAAAATTCCCCCATAGGGAACATCATTTTGCAATCGCTTTTGCGATCGCAAAAACATCGACGTAAAGCGATTTCATCATCAAACGGAGCGCTCGTAATGCGAGGCACCACTGTATTCCATCCCAACCACTACAGGTCAAATGGAGCGCTCGTAATGTGAGGCACTACTGTATTCCATCCCAACCACTGCACATTTTAACAGTCATTTGCTCCAAACAATCTTCATCTATAGCTGGAGATGATGAAAAAGAGCAAAGGGCTAGAAAGTGAGATCTTAAAAATGAGGGCGGCGAGCACAAAAGAGTAAAGCCAGGTAAGCAGTGATTCCAGGACAGTTTACTAAGGAAGGAATAGCAGTCTAACTGTATAGGAGGGACAAGTGTCCAGGGAAACATCAGGAGGAAGTCTGCCCTGGACAAATCCAATAGGCTTGGATCAGCCCTATAGGATACAATATTTCCAGGAGTGTTTTGTAAAATGGAACTGGCTTTCTTCAATTTTGTGATACTGATGATAATTCTCATAATCGGTCTTGCTGTCAAATGGCTCTTTGACAAAAGAGTGCTAGATTTTTTAAAACAACAACAACCTCAGATAATTGAATCTGGAGTAAAGGATCAAAATATTGGCAAAGTGGTCCACTTCACTGTGCAGAATTTGAGACAGTATGTCCTTGTAAATGACACACAATCACACGACTCTGTCTGGAATTGGAAGATGGTCCAATCCAGCCTTCACAAGAAGCAGCAGCACCAGAAGGGGACACACAGGAATGGAAATGAACCCAAGATAATGATGATGCAGCTCCCCATCAATCAGTACTCTCCTTTCACCTTTAAGTCTGTTTGGCCCTTGTGACTGAATCTTAATGAAAGCTGCTACTATGTACTGGCCAAGCACCTTAAGCCAACCCCACATATTAAAACCCCAGTGTGCCCTATGAAATTAAACAGTTTAAAGTTTTAAACAGTTCTAAAACCATGGGGCTGTACTAAAGAGCATAACCATCATACCAAGACAGGAATATAGCTGATGGTTACTGCAGTGCATCCTTCATATAGCATACATACAAGACAAACCCACACATAAGCAGCAGGATTTCCAAACATAGGCCAGGCCTATCACTCACATGGAATATGGCCTGGTTTTCTTTGTTCTGCAGGAGTTGGCTCCAGACCTGGTTTTGGACTAAGAGCAAGTTTCCAAGAAATGCCTTCTGGAGCAGAAAGCAAAGAGAGACCAGAAAGAAGGTCACTAAAAGCTGAGAGGGTTTTTTTTTTTAATTTAAAGAAGATATAGGAGAGCAGGAGACAACTTCAGACTCTTGTTGTACATAAATGCAAGCTCTCCAAGGATATTTCTACCACCCTAAAAGTTATGGAATCTCCTGAAGCACAGTGGACTCTTGTATTGCAGGAACAGGGAATTGTCGGCAACAGCTGCTGAACTTTTTGGCCACTCAGCACTGCAATTGTATACAAAGAGGCTGTAGCAAACAATTAAAGAACATGTGCAACAGAACTACGTTGACTAAAGGCTGAAAGGAATTAAGCCAGCAATGGGAAGTTTAAAGCTCAAACCCAGGAGCAATGACATTCATACAGTATAGAGTCCAAATGTAGACATTTTCAATAGCAAATGTGCTCCTGAAGAGCTGGGACATGCATCTCTAAGGGGCAGAGAGGCGATATAGTGTCTGGCAGATTTTTGAGCAGGAAAGGGAGAAGACAGGTAATATTGAGAAAAGATCAGAAGCACCAAGATACATTTGCAACAATCTATCCCTTGGTAAGGTAAAGAATTTCTTCCCTACTATCCCATGGCTATGGAGGATAATTACCTGCTGTGCTTGTGTTTGATTCTGGAGTGCTATCTGAAGCAGAGCTGCAGACAAGGCTGGATTGGTTAGGAGAGGCACTGAGGGTGGGGCTCCCAGGATTCCTGAAAAGACATCAAGATGCAGAGTTTCTTTTAACTCTTCCTATTTGGACGAAAAACTTTCTAAGGCAGTGGTCCCCAACCCTGGGCCTCCAGATGTTCTTGGACTTCAACTCCCAGAAATCCTGGCCAGCAGAGGTGGTGGTGAAGGCTTCTAGGAGTTGTAGCCCAAGAACATCTGGAGGGCCAAGGTTGGGGACGACTGCTCTAAGGCAGTGGTTCCCAACCTTGGGTGACCCCGGTGTTCTTGTACTGCAGTTCCCAGAAGCCTTCGACACTAGCTGTACTACCAAAGATTTCTAGGTGCTTCAGTCCCAGAACACCTGGGTTACCCAAGGATGGGAACCACTGCTGTAAGGCAATCTACGAAATTCTACAACAAGGGAAGCAGGACACAAAGAACAGCCCGCATTGTGTAAATCTCAGTCTTTATAGGTGTCAAAGTATCTTCTTCAGTTTAGTTTTTAATGTTTCAGGCTACGGTATTTTCATCTTATCTCACTTGACTACACTTGACTGTAAGGTAAAGTTTTCATGCTGCATTGAGTTAAGAGCTGAAATTAGCATTAATTAAATATGCCAGATTAAGACCTCTGTAGAACTATGAGAAATATGTATTACTGGTATAAAAGGTATCAGCTCATCCATTTTATATCCAGCACAAACATTTGTGAAAAATGTGAGCCATTCACAAACTGAGGAAAATTTCCTACACAAGTGAACGTATATCATAATCAGCTCTGAAGAGTTAGCATCTTTTGACTTTTTTCCAAAACGTGGTCTCCTGGATGGTATCCAAAAGCAGAGACCGCAAGGTCTAGCTTACAAGTATGAACCACCCCTGCTCTACTGCAGCTCTAGATGTCAGCAGCTACACAACAAGCCATTAACAGCTGCCTCTGCATTCAGGGAATCCCCAGGCTAAATGGAACCACAGTAAAGAAGGAAAGCTGCAAAAGGTCAGGCAGCTCGAGTCCAACAGGACCTTTCAGATATACCCTCTAGTTACCTTGCTTTCCTCCAATGGCTCCATGAAGAAGGGGGTTGAGCAAGAGCTGGATTGATGTAGGATTCCCTAAACTGTTCAGAATCTGAAGAAGATTGGGTTCAGGCAGCAGCCCTTTCCCACGGTTAAGTGCCTGTAAAACAAACAATAACACCATCAAAAGGTATCTGGGTTCTCTGGCAGTGAAACAACCTGTATCAAAATCATGGTGCATATAATGCAGGAAGGGAATGTGTATAGTCAGGATTCCAGCTTACAGGTTTCTGCAAATCACACAACGCTGCAGTAACAAGAGCATCAGGCAGGCCATGGCAAGGAAAAACTTCTGGTTTCTGTAAGCTGCATTTTATCTTGATTTAAAGGCTGCTGTCCAATGGGGGGAGGGGATCTAATCAAGTTCCACTTAAAGATTCTGTCACTATACTGTATGTGTCAAGATACAGGTCAAAAGGAGCAGATATTGCTCCAGGAAAGGGGCTCCCAGGAAGCAAGGAACCACTGGGTGAGACCCTAAGCAGCACTCAACTATTCTAACCCAGAATACAAGCCTTAGAAAGATACTGACATGGCATGAGGACAGATAAATGAACAAGGAACTGGCGAAGGAGCCCTTTCAACCTAGGAACAGTTAAAGAGGCATTACTGTAAGCCTTACTGTTGCTTGGGCAGCAACGAGAGCAGCTAGCATGCTTCGTCCGGGAGGGCCTGGGGCACAAAAGGAGACTCTGATATGGTTCCCAGCAAGTGGCAAGCCATTGGTGGCCTGCTGGACCATCTCCGCTATCTCAGCTGACTCGTACTCCAAGACTGCGAAGCCCTTCAGTTGTCCATCCTGACCATATGCCAACTATGCAAAAGGAAAGAAGAAAGGTTGTAAGAAGTTGGTGTAGCACAAAAGGAGAAGAGGGGGGTTGTTTCATACGCTTCGGAGCAATCAAAGCCGTTGGTTCTCTTCTATGCTTCAGTGTCAGCAAAGAATTCCCCAAATTTCCCAGGATACATAGCAGCCATCAACATTGCCAGATACCTACAATGATTTTACTGCCCCATTTTAGATCAAATTTATAATTCATTTTCCATTCATAAAGATTTCTCACCCTTTATCTATAGAAATGTCTAAAGAAAAACAGCCTTGGGAACCAGACAGCACGTAGGTCATACAGTTCCCACCTCTGTTTGTTCCAGAAGTAAACTCCAGTCAGGACTATGAACATTGATTAATAAAACCTTACTGTGGACATAAATGATCAAAGCAATCAGTTTTCTTCCAGGTGGAAAAAGCTCTTGGTTTTTAAATCTTGGCAAAGGAAAGCACCACTTTTCTAAAATCTCTCCTTCAATAACACCACCTGGCATTTTAGTCACAGCAAACCATACCTGCTTACAACTCAAGAAAGGGAAGTAATCCAACCTTTTGCTGCTTCACAGACATCCTGGCAAACGGTTTCTAAGGGCAGTCACAGTCTTGCAGTGAGCCCTTCATTTCTGGTTGCCAAATGCTATGCTGAGCACATAAAGTAAATGGTAAGCTTGCTTCCTTGTTGCCTATGTGCTCACCTGACAGAACGTTGGGGGACAGATGGCAGAGAAAGTCTCCCTCAGTTCTTCGACATCAGTGTAATTGTGGGGCAGTTTATCTACACACAAGCATTTTGAATGAATGAGGTCTAAGGTCAACTGATTGACATCTGTCCAGTGAACATAGAGAGTCCGTGTTCCCAGCTGTTTGCCCAACAGATCTGATTTTGCTCTGGCTGCAGAATCCTTTTTCATGTACTCCACAAAGCCATAGCCTTTGGAGTGTCCTGTTTTCTCACTGTACACCAAAAAGCAGCGCTCCAGGTTCCCAAAAGGTCGAACTAGGTCCTCAAATTGCTGCTGTGTATAAAGCTGGGGCAGATTGGCAATACAAAGGAGGGCATCCGTAGGTTGTAGCTGCACCGTGATCTCCTTGTCTCGCAGCTTGCTCAAGTGGAATTTCTTAATGGCTGATTCAGCCTGTTCCCCATTCAGTAAGGTGACAAAAGCTGCAAGGAAGGAAAGGATGTAAAGACTTTTGACAAGAAACAGAATCACAAATATATTTGCAACACTGTCTACAGATTCTGAACAAAACATTTGGTTAAATTTCCACCTGGCCATGAGTAGGTGATGGTTAATCTTGAGCCAGTCAGTATCTCTTATCATAACCAATTCTACAGGACAACTGTGAGAGTAAAAATGGGAAGGAACACTATATATGCTAGAGTGCTCCTTAAAATAAAGCAGGATGAAAATGTATTAGAAATAAATATAATACACTGTGGAACCCAGCAGGAAGTTCATGTAGTGTAGCATTCTATCTATAGCAGCACCCAAACCAGAAATGTACTCAGTACACTCTAAGCTCAGCATGATGGAGACAGCCATTCTCTAGTTATCAATAACACTTAGTACTTAAAGACACAATATGGTTAACCAAACTGGCTTTTGATAGCCAGGGATAAAAAATGAATCTAATTATCTATAAATGCATTCTTTTTATGTATGGCGAGAGGCTAATAATTCAATAAAAATAAAATTAAATACATGTACTGTATTCCATCTGAAATAAATTTGCCATCTTCCACTACAAGCTTGATGACCTTTCTTTTTAGTCCTGAATAGAGTAATTCTGTGGATTCGCACATGTCCATCCACTGTTACCTTTATTTTTCTCTTTTTCATTTGTTCATAACCTACCCCACCTTTCCTCCATGATCAACACAAGGCAGTGTCCATGCGATTCCCAAGAACTGTTGCACTCAGATGCTGATATGCTTAGGTTCAGCATGGCTGTTGCATCATGTGCCTTTGATCTGCCATCTTCCTCACTGTAGGTCTAAGACTGTAAACTCTTGAGAGTAGGGACTTGTCTTTTCTTATTACTCTACAAATCCTCATGCACACCATTGGCACTATAGAGATCACTTTTTAATTTACCACAGTGGTGCCTCGCTAGACGATGATAATCCATTCCACTGAAAACACTGTTTAGCGAAATCATTGTCTAGCAAAAAGCATTTTCCCCATTGGAATGCACTGAAACCTGTTTAATGCGTTCCAATGGGGAAGAATTGTTGTTGTCTAGCAAAGATCGGCCACAGGAAAGACGCTTTGCAAACCGCCAATCAGCTGTTTAAATAGCTGTCTTGTGAAGCTTAGGTCCCGAAAACACCTATTTGCGAGTGCGGAGGGAGCTGTCAAAAACGTCGTCTAGCGAAAATTGGTTTGCGAAGCAGCAACTAAACACTGTCCAGCAAAATTCCCCCATAGGAATCACTGTTTTGCGAATCGCTATAGTGATCACGAAAAGCCAATGTCTAGCGAAAAAACGGTCATGCGGGGTAACTGTCTAGCGAGGCACCACTGTATCAGTCTAAATACCAATCACTGGAAGGGTTTCATCATCCAGTTTCCTCCAAAATGAAAGCAGTCCTTTATCTGTATTCATGAGGTTTAAAAGGTAGGCTCAGTCAGCTGGAGAACTTGGCTGCAGAGCTATGGGTCAGAAGTCTGATTTTCTACTATGCCTCCTAGGAGAGAACCAGACTGTTTAGTCTTGGATAAGCTACACAGTCCTAGAGTGCCACCAGAAGAAGCAATTGGTAAACTGCTTCTGAGCATTCCATATCTAGAAGATGCTGCTAAGAGCTTCTGAAAGTTGCAGTCAACTTGAGGACAGATGATTACATTGTTAATTGACCCTTAAGAAGACCTCTTTTCTTAAATCCTCATTGCTAAATTCTTAGGAGACTTTTGTCAAAAGATTGTTGAAAATGTTTTTATGATACTTTTTGGTTCAAGTATCTATTGAAGCTCTTGTGCCTACTCCACTGTTGGATTTTAAATGCACTTTTCGTGATATGATGATCAGCTACCTGACTGATAAACTTATAAATTATGAACTAGAATAGACCATTAATTTTCAGCTGGGAGTTTCTAAGACTAGTCACTGATCTCTATATTTGCATGCAGAATGTTTTTCATGACATTTTAGATAAATATTTAGTTTTCCTGCTTGTCAACAGCTCTCAGATTTGTCACCCAGTGGGAAGACTAGCCTTGAAACAGGTATTTCACACCAACCATGAATTTTTTCCAGAAATCATTTTGGCGTGATTTCATTTCCAACTCAAGGAACACTCATTTACAGACATGGCTACAAACATTTCAAAGAAAGAAACACTTTCTTCATACTGTAATAAATACGGGTTTTAGGGCAATGGTTATAATGTTTTTTTAACATTTTAATTTTGTGTTGTTTGATTTTAAATTGTTTTAAGTATCTTAGGTTTTAAAATCATTTTATACAGTTTTGTAACCCACCCTGAGGTCCTGTGATATAGAGTGAGATATAAATGTTTAAATAAATAAAGTAAATAAACGCTCCACCACCTTATCCACATACTGAAATCCTCGCAGCTCTTTCAAGCTTGCTTTCCACTACAAAAATAGTATTTCCTTCTCTATTCAGTTGGTCCAAAGACCCATTCTGGGGTTAGTCTGAAGGCACACAATACACCCTCCTTGCTGATGCTAAGTAGGTCTGGGGCTGGTCAGTGCCTGGATGGGAGGCAGATGGGAATTCCATGTATGTCATTTTAAGTTCCATGATGGAACATAGGCAACATATTAGTATACAAAATAAATTTAAAAACTGGAATCATACCAACGCTTCCAAGATCCTTCTGACAAGTCTATACGCAAGGCATACAGCTCTCACACAGAATCCTATTTTCAAAGGATTCTGCCTCCAATGTGTCCAGTTTTCAGTTTTGTAATGAGTGGCTACTTCCTTACATTTTAGAAAGCCATTCTGGAGCAATTCTCAGTTATTGATAAAAAAAATTAAGCAGCTTAAAAGTTGCCTATTAGAAGGCAGAAAATGTGCCCTTCAGAAAAGAGTTTCCCTTCAGAACACAGTTTGGGGTGTAATGTGGCTCTCCAAGTACTTTCCCAAATGTTTTAAAATATCCCCTTGTGCTCTTTGGGTGGGCAACTGTGCCCTAAGGCCCCCTCACCTTCCCCCTAACTCTCTACTTAAAATGTTTTTTGTTACTAGAAGGTACAAAGGAGCTTCTTCTGTACTCCCCCTCAATTTTCCTAAGGAAAAATCGAGTGCGCAGTTGTAGGAGTGGTCCTCCAAGGTGCAAGAATGGATGTGTGCAGGTCCCAGAACTTTCACCTGTGGAACGGCTTCTGAAGATGAAGCGCAGCTGACCTTCCTCTTGATCAACAGACTGTCCATAATCTAGACCCCAAAGAGCATTGACCAGCCAAGCAGAACAATCTTACACAGCATTGCATGCATTCATGCTTTCCTTGTGCTGAGTGAACTGATGTATGTATGTGTTACGTCAACTTGATTTCATATATTTAGACAACCAGCGTTTATAGTGCCTTCCACATTCAGTGATATAGCATTTTAATTTTGTGTAGAATGCCTTAAAGAGTTGCAGAATGCCTTAACTTCTGCCATGACCTCCATTTCTGGGCAGGCCAAGTACAGCACAATTGGCAATGTCCTTTTGAGAAATGAAAAATAATTGCTTTGAAACACCCTATAATCAGTATTTCCTACAAAGGCAGCCAAATCTTTGTGGTGATTTTCTACAAAAAGCTACTGTATTTATTTATTCATTTATTTATTAAGGATGGGACAAGTATTTTGCCAAACTATATAATGCATGGCATGCAGATGATTCTGCATTAGAACAACCAACTTCCATGCAGGCCAGAAGCTCTTCCTGTTCAGCAAAATTTATTAACATATATGGATACTGATTTGTTTAAGTAATGCAGTAAATACAGTTAGGGATATTCAGCAATGAACAGGAATGGCCAATGGCTTTGTTTCTGCCACAAAGACTGTCACTTCCATGTGGCACATACAAAACGCAACAGCGCTTTCACCCCTTGGCTCCTAATTTTCCAACCGAAGTCACTAGCCACCTCAAATAGGGTCCAGTGTGCACACTGGAGAAAGATCACACACAGGACAGTAAGAGCAAACACTCTATGGCTAACACGAACCCACCAGCATGAGCAAGCCGAAAATGCCCCTTCAGCGAATCACCATGAGGATATCAACCCATCTTGAAACTGAAATGCCACTATAATTTATGGATTACTTCAGGCTGAGGAGTGGTCTGTTCAGCTGGTTTCAGCAGACTGCTTTCTACCCATCAAGCATTAAAATAAACAGAGCCCACCCATATGACAACAAGTAACTCTGTAAACCAAGTTTACTCACCAGTCCCCTTGTATTTGTCCACAAAACAGTATTTAAGTTCGTAGTCGCTCAGCAGATCATGAACTTCCTGCATAAAGTCAACAGAAGAAATCAAGCCAATGCAAAATGGTGAAATATATATATTTTTCTACCAAAAAAAAAACCAACACACACACAATTTCCAGCACGATTTCTACCTTCATCACTCTAGTTCACAACCTGACCGAAGGACAAAAATCCTGCAAGAATTGGTCAAGCCCACACTGGCAAACAAATACCTCCTTTATAATGAAAAGATAACATGTACCCACAACAATTCCAAGAAAGCATAACTAATGCTTTGAACATTTCCATCTTCTGGAATTTTTACCTGCAGATCAAACTTGCATGCTTGAACAAACACTGACTGAACATGCCACATCCTATTGAGTTGTTACAGACCTGACTTGAACAACTCCCTGTTCCTGAACAGAAGATTAAAAATTGGACAGTGTTCAGGTTAATAGAATTTACAAAGCTCAGCAGAAAACTAGCCTTGTTCTTAAGAGCCCCCCTACTGGATTCAAGTGTATACATAATACTATGATCACTCCATTCCCCCTCAACATTAAAATCATCATGCTGACATGCAAACGGACTCTGGGAATTTGAAAGCCAAAGGCATGTGCAACTTCAGAAGTCTTAACAAGTATGGAATACTTTAAAGTAATATAACACATAGCATGTGTAATTTTGCAAGTTCTAACAACCACGGAATACTTTCACACACAGCTTAAGAAATTTATAACCTCCCAAATCAGAAATGGAAGAAAGCTAATTTCCTTCTTGTTTCACTAGGGAAGGGAGTTAGCATTGCCACCAAACATCCAAATAAATTGCATGCAGGAACTCCAACCAAATGCCCAAGGTATATCTGTTAATGTGTCATGAAGTTGGAACAGACTTATTACAGAGGCATAGAATGTAAAGGTCTGCTAACCTCTACTGTAGACCCGGAGTGATATAAGCAACAGTATACCTCCAAATTTTTCTAAGACCAGAAACAGCCAGCATATGCCAATTGAGAGAGATGGACAAGGAAGCCCTGAGTATCTCATTCAGTACAGTGTAGACCAAATGAGTGGGGAATAGAAAAAGAAGCAAGAGATACTTGTTCAAAAAGTAAAGCTTTGTTCCCATAAAAACACAGTAACATAATCAAAAATGGTAAAATAACTGACAAGTGTGTTAATCTACAGAAACCTGAGGTTCAAACGTTGAAATTATAAGGTTACGTTATATAACTCTGTCTTGAATAATTTATTGAATATTGAAAGGAACAGAGCCTGGTGTATCCCAACTGGTAGTTTATTCCACAAAGTGGGGGCTATTACCAAGAAAGCCTGACTCCTTATTAGAGATGGGGGTATTCGTATACGAATATCATCGCACAGGTGCAGCCCCATGGGGCCGAACGGTCCACTCACTGAAGTGAGCTTGTCAGACCTTCTTATCACGCCATTGTCCGCAATTGATTACCCAGTCCCGGCAGGAGGCGGGATGACAAGCCTCCCTACTATGTCAGAGAATGGCTAATCCATTGCGGAGAACAGCACGATAGGAAGCCTCTGTGGAGCCAGTGGCAGTGGCAAAATTGTACATTCCATTCAAATACGAATACGTACCCCCTTCTCTACTCCTTATTGTTCCATTCCGGGCTTCCCTCAGCACAGCCACCTGTAGCATTGTGGACCAAAAGGAGCATGTGACATGGGAAGCTGATTTTCAGCAGAGCCATTCCGACAAGTATTGAGGTCCTAAACCAGTGATGGCAAATCCATGGCACGTGTGCCACAGCTGGCACACGGGGCCCTTTCTGTGGGCACACGAGCCATAAGTTGTCAGATCGCTTACTCCCCTCCCCCCCACAAACAAACTTCAGGAGGCAGCTGCAATCAGGGTGCTGGTGCTTCGACAGGTGGCGGGCCAGGATCCGGAGCAGCTGGCACCACCGGCGGATCCAGAGTAGGGTCTCAAAGCATCTCCATGCCCCAGATTCCACCTTCTGTTCCGCCATCAACGCGGCACAACACCCACTGTTTTTTCCCCCCTAGTTTGGGCACTCAGGCCCAAAAAGGTTTGCCGCCACTGTCCTAAACTGTTTAGGGATTAAAAGTCATAACTAGGACCTTGAATTAGGTACAAAAACCAACAAGGAGCCAATGTAGAGGGTCAAGACTGGGGATATATGATCAAATTTATTAGTCCCAGAGATCAGTTTGGCCACCACATTTTGAAGCTGCTGAAGTTTCCACACTGTTTTCAAGGGCAGCCCTGTGTACAGACCATTGTAGTAGCCTATTTTTGAGGTTACCATTAGATATGAGATATTCGTATTTGTATCCGGGGGGATATAAATACAGTGGTGCCTCACTTAACGATTACCTCTTTAAATGACAAAACCGCTTGACGATGAAGTTTTACGATCGCTTTTGCGATCACAAAATGATGTTTAGATAGGGAAATTTCTCTTGAAAATGATTGGTTCCCTGCTTCGGGAACTGATTTTTCACTAGACAACTATTTTTAAATAGCTGACCAGCGGCTCTAAAAGGGCCACCCGCTGTGCAAAATGGCTCCCCACTGTGTTTTAGGACAGATTCCTCACTTTACAGGCACCGAACATGGCGACCCTATGGAAGTTCTTCGCTGGACGCTGAGATATTTAGCCCACTGGAACACACTGAAACCGGTTCAATGTGTTTCAATGAGCTTTTTTGTTTCACTTGACAAGGATTTCGCTTAACAGCGGTTTCAATGGAACAAATTATCCTCATCAAGCGAGGCACTACTGTACAAATATTGGCACCACAGATGCCTGGGAAAACTGTACCACCACCACCACCAAATTGGCAGGTCCACTCACCGCTCACCACGTACAGCCGGCATCATTCTCATTGCATCAATCTGGGAAGCAGCCTGGCTGGCACTTCCCCACCTCCCTGTACAGCCAACTGCTCAACAGCTGAGCAGGGAGACTCATCATCTTGTTTCCTTGCCAGAGTGGTTAGCTGGCTGCACAGGGAGACAGTGAACAGCCAGCGGGGCAACTTCCACAATTGGTGTGACAAAAATGACACTGGTCCCATGTGCATTATGGTGAGTGGACCTGCTAGTTTGGGGGATAGGGTCCAGTTTTCCCAGGCACCTATGGCAATGATATTCATACAGTATTTGTATTTCCAGGGATATGAATATTCCATGTCTAATTACCATACCAATACATGCACTACTGTTATTACGCACTTCTTATCCAGGTAGGGTTGCAGCTGGGCAGTCAACCGAAGCTGGCAGAAGGCACTCATCACAGCTGACATTTGAGCCTCAATACAAAGCTTTGGATCTAGGAGTAAACACCCCCAGCTGCAAAACTGATGTTTCAGGGGAAGTATAACTGCATCTAAGGCAGGTAGTTCTCCTTTTAACCAGTCCAACATCTCTACTAACAGCATGATCTTGCTCTTGTCTGGATTCAGTTTTAATCTGTTAGCCCTCATCCTGTCCACAACCAAAGCCAACAAGTGCTCAAGGACCTGAACATCATCCTCTGCAGATGATGCATAGGAGAAATAGAGATGTGTCATCAGCATACTGGGGGCAAGTATTTTAACTCACCATTTAAATCTCAGTTCAGAAAAAAATTTCATGATGGTGTTCTTCTCTACATTCTCTGCTACATTTTAAAAACATATTTCCTTTTGATTGCTATATCTTTAAAACATATTTTCACAATGCATTTCACAAGAGAAATTAAGTTTACACTATGTATAGAGGAACAAAAGCCAGGATTACTACTCTAAAAGAATCAGTCAAAAAACAAACAAAAAGCAGTTCTTGATTTAAAGCTTCTAAGAGTTTCCAACATGGTCAGGAAAGGGGGGGGGTCAACAAAATAATTATAATCAGAGTTGGAAAATCATTTTCCAACAGTAATCTTTATAAATCTGTGCATTACTTAAAAATAAATACTTCTAGAAACCTGTCTAGAAAATTCTATGTAACAAATGTGACTCTTTTGCCTTCCAAAAAGAATCACTCACACTGCTTTATAAGATAACAAAAGCCATTAAAAAATAATCAGCCATCAAGGTCAAAACATCAAACACAAAAGGAATAAAGGGCTAACTATCAATCATTCAATAATATTACGCAACAACAAAGTCAGTTATGTCTAAAAGACAAGTATTCAGCTGCCAACAGCTGAACATTTTGCTGCACTTCTCTCTTACCACATAAACAACTGCACCTGTATACCTGCAGGAGCACTTTTACTGCAAGTTAACTATTTCATTTTCTCCTACTCTACAGTAAAAGCATACTCTGTGAAGAGAAAGGGGCCCATCTACAATACCTTCCCCAGATGCATTATATTATACTATTCTTGAGAACTGTAAATCATAAGCCATGAAGTCAGTGGGAATGTACCACAGCATTTTAAACTGATGCAGACTGCTCTCAAGCCAACCTGAATATGTTTTGCTCTTTGAACAGGAACAACAAATATACCGCTTCCTCCTCCTAATCAAGGCCTATCACACACCTACACTCTGCCAAGGTATCTGGGCACATCAGACAGAAAATTGCGAACACATTCCCCACCTTTGGCAGTCAAAATACAACACAAACTAATTAAACAGCTGACAACCTATTGCCCTGATCTAACATGCAACCTGCTGCTTGAAGATTGCTCTTGCCAACAGCAGGGCCAGCCCAGATTTCACTTGACTTTCAAGATTCAGAGGAAATGACATTGTTTATTAAGACCTGCATATATTCAACCTTGTAGACAGCATAGTTACCATGGAAGACTCTTATTTATCAAATGGAAAAGGATTACAACAAGGATAGGCAACGTTGGTAAGATCTTCAACCTGCACTTATCACAGGGTACAGACCAGGTTCAAAAATAGCCAAAATGGCCCAAAACTGAAAGAAAAGCAAAACTAGAAACCACTTCTGTCTTTAATTTAGAGGAGTTTCTATAGGCTGTGGAATGCAAAAGATTGTATGGCTAGAGTGTCCAGAAGCTAACAACAACTATTTTTTCTC